CAACCAGAATCACTAGATCATTGGCGAAAATCTCGTCAACGCGATTCACGGAGCATTGTTACTAAAATTATTGAACGATTCGCGATAAAAGGATCGTGAATCCATTGAGTAAAGTATCTCTGATTGATTGACGAACAAGCCGTCGTCGGAAAGAGGACGATCTGCTGAGAGACGAGTCACCACCTCTTGAGAGCATACCAGATGCGATGAAGAGCCTCTTCTTACTGTGCGGACCTGAGGATGAAGCTTCCTAACACATGCCCCACCTCCATCTAGCTCCTCTCTATCGGGTGACAGCCGCTAGAGAGCCAAAAAGTTGCCATTTTTTCACTCCGCTAGGTGACAGCTGCCAGAGACGGTTCGACGACCCATTTCATTGATCTCTAGACTTCGCAAGGAGATCTAAAGATTGTCCACATTGTCCTTGTCAAAGGAGAGCCTTCGAGGCCATAGACAATACATGACTATCCTCTCGAACACTCAGGATTTCAATGCATCGCCGATGCATCGCCACCGCAACGTCGAAACTTTGTTTTCTTACTTTCAACTTACTTTTCACTTCATTTAGTGATAATTTGTGTGATTTAAATTTACTAAGATATACTCCATTCCATTATGATTCTTCTGACTTTTACAGATCTTAATTTGATCAATTAAATCATCTATAATCGCTTACGTAAAAATCATCGGACGGAACTCTATTTTCGCTCAATTTGCGTTCACCGGGCACTGACGTCATCTTGATGTCTGCACCCTTATTTCCCTTTTTTGTGAATTTTAAATATATTTCCTTTTTATTTCTTAATATAAAATTTATAGAAAATAATATTTTCTGAAGAAAATTTTGAATAATTACCAGATATTATATTACATCCTTGTGATTGACTTGGAAAATTACCTCTATTTTTGGAAATGTTATTGAATTATAATTGATATATTTATTCAGAAATATTACTAAATATATAAAAAATTGTATTTTCTAGTTTTATAAATTTTAAATTTACGTAATTTACTATACAATGACTAAGTCACAATATGCATCACCGACGCATCACTACTGTGATGTTAGAACTCTATTTTTCTGTTTTCAACTCATTTTTTACTTCATTTAGTGATAATTTTTGTGATTTAAATTTACCAAGTTATTCTTTATTCAATTACAATTCTTTTCGCTTTTACAAATCTAAATTTGATCAATTAAATCATATATAATCATTTACATAAGAATCATCGGGCAAAACTCTATTTTCACCTGCTTCGCGATTATCGAGCATTGACGTCGTCCGAACATATACACCCTTATTTTCCTTTTTTATGATTTTTAAATATATTTTATTTCATTTTTTAGTATAAAATTTATAAAAAATTATATTATTTTAGGAAAATTCTGAAAAATTACCTAATATTATATTATATCCCTATGATTGACTTGGAAAATTCTCACTATTTTTGAATATTTTTTAATTATAATTGATATATTTGTTTATAAATACTTCTAAATATCTAGAAATTAATATTTTTGAATTTTATAAAATTGAAATTTGTGTGATTTACTATACAATGACTAAGTCATGTCAATGACATTAGGCTTATAAGGACTTTTTTGGGTGAAAATTTGAGTAGAAGGATTTGCTCCACAATCTAACAAAGGTTTGATTTTCATTCATTTTGTGGTATTGAAAAAGCAATTATTATTTTCTCTATTTATTTGAAGTGTTTAATTTTAACGTCCAAAATATGTCATTAAAATATGAATAAGTCAGATTAATGATCATTGTATCCTTGTGAAAAATTTGTTTCATTAAAATCTGTCATTTCACACATTACTCCTACCATAACATTATTGTTTAGTAATCTCTAATTAAGCTTTGGCACCATTAAAATACCTAAAGACCTTCAATACCAATGGTTTTCACCATTTTGATGATGACAAAATCTAAATAAGTGGAAGAAGATAAATTTGACCAAACTTGACACTTCTCCAAATGATAATAATCATTTGCTCATTATGATCATTTTTTATAAACACAATCATAAGTCAAATAATAACTAAATCAAATGATATTGATAATTATGATTGTGAAATGTTCATTTCATAAGTTACCATTATTGAAGCAATCTCAATTCTATTTCATGATTCCTCCTCCATATGAGCAATGTTTCTTTGAAAATTAATTAGCATATGAAGCATTGATGATCAAAAATTCATAAGATAAATGAATGGGTCAAATTTATTAATCATTAATTACACCTGAAATACGTTTGAATAGTTTTTGGGACGTGAACTTTGTAAAGATTACAATGCAGTGATGTTAAATGTCCATATGGTATTCAAGGAACATGGTTGAGTCATGTTTCAAGGTTTAAATCTGGAATAATTTATCACTCAAAATTACTAGTTAGTACTTCCTATGGAAGATGATAATATTCACAAAAAAATTCATTGAGGAAAGTAATGATTGGCACATTTAATTTCATGAGAATCTTGAAAAGAAATTGATTTTGAAACCTCATACATTGTACTAGATGTAGATGATTTTAATTATCACACCATTCTATTATTGATACTGAAAATTAGATTTAATTCAAAATATTTTAAAAATCAGGTTTTATAAGTATTGTTAAAAAAATTAATAAAAATATAATTTGAAATAATATAGTAATCAAAGTAGTGATGAATTATATTTCAATCTTTATATTGTGTGTCTAATTTATATCTGAATTCATTTGAAGTATTTAAAAATAATTTCAAATAAACAAATACTATTTATTAAGACTTATTACAAGTTACATTTTAATCATAACATACTCCATGGAACATGTATGAACTGATAAGCACTAGGTAGATTTTTTAATATTAAATGGAAATTTACATTAACTTACCAAATATGTTAGCCTCAAAATATGCATTACTATTTTTTATCAATTTTAGACTTTTGACATAGCATAATAATAGAAATAGGGGAGGATTTAGAATCAACATTTGATATAGACTCAGCCTTTCTCAAATGACCAATAAGTTTTGAAAAATCATCCATGACTTCTTTGCTATCACAAGTTTAACTATAACAATTGAACAGTCATTGAAGCCAAGATGAAATAGTAAAAAAATATGAAGTTGCTCAATGAAATTCCATACAATTGTTGTCATCCTAAACCTGATTCAAGTGCAAACATCTTCATGAATTAAATAGCTTTCATATTTAAATTGGACCAGCAAAATCAAGTCTAATTTTTCAAAAGTGAAAAAAAACTAATGGTAAAAATTCTTCTTTTTACATTCAAGACACTTTTTTTATTAGATTTAAGCATTCAAAAGAGTCATCTTTATAATCATCAGTGGGCCACCAAAATTTTGGAATCTAGAGGAAAATTTTAGGGGTGAAATAAAATGGGAGCTGAATTTGATAACAAGGAATTTTCAACTAAATGTAAGTTTAGGGGATTCATTATAAGTCATAGTGTCAACAAGGTATACACATAGGAGGTCTATTAGAATCTATGTTTGAAGAAAGAAGATTAAAAAATTTAACTTACTTCATCATAAGTCAAAATACAATTAAATCAGCTCGAGTCCAGTGATCGATATAATATTAAGATAGTCAAAGTCCTTGGGAAGTGGAATAAGGGAAACAACATCTTCTAGACATCCCTTGAAACTTGAGTCTACATGGATCATACTACAAGTGTGTAGGTGGCCTAACCTTTCTATAATCTAGGAGACATGTGGGTCTGCACTTCAAGCTTAGTTGTTATTTGGAAGCTATTTTCTTGATATTTTCTTCATACTCAGGCTTTTGCTTGGGTCAGCCATTGATGGTGTTGATGTCTTGACTTGAACTTGATATCAATAAAGATTTATTGAAAAACTCTACATGTTTCCAATAAAAAATAGTTTATCATAAATTTAGTAATTAGGATTATACGCCAGAATATTATGTTTGTGCCTCTTAGTAGGGTATTTCTAAAGTGGTGATTTCATTCTAAATAAAAATTTATTAAAATTTATGTTTTCTTGCAAATAATCATTTGTGACAACCATAAAGTATAAATATTCCCAAAATATCATGTTCTTGCTCTTCCTTATGGTATTTTCTAATGGTGGTTTCTTATTATGATGAAATAAAAGACATTATATTAACAAATAATAAATATTCATGCTAATTAATATTATCAATTTAAATGAAAATATTGTACATGTGCTCTTAAAAGGGCAAAAACTCTCACTTTATACATAAAATTATATACAAATTTATATATAACAGATTTTGCTCAAAAACATTTAATAGGGATCGCATATAGAATTATGTAACTCTGAATTACAATTGTACATTAGATTGTAGTCAAGTTTCCATGATTAATTCATCATCCTCATAAATGTGATGGTCGGCACACTTGTTAATACAATAACTTTCCTACTTATACTTAAAGTCCTACTTTAGACAAGAAATTTATTTTCCACTCATCAATGGAATGAATCAAGATTTGACGATGGCTACATTTGGCTTCAAGTTTAGGAAAACATCTAGAGGGTGCAATGTATAAAAAGCATATATGATGACATTCATCCATGTGAATCATATAAGATTTAACTTCGCATAGAGCCATTATGATCAATTAAGCTATCATAACATTTCCTAAAAAGATAACTTTCATCCTAATTTGAGTTTCCATGAGATAAATCAAAACTTGAATGAAGTGAGAGCCTCAAAATCCGTCATCTTCCACATGAAGTTGAGCTATGTATTTCATATCATTAATATTGTGCTTGACTATAAACATGGTATATATTTTGTATTATTAGTATTGTGCTTGACCACAAACGTGAGGCAACTCTTGGAGTACCTCACTTGTTAATGAAGATCCATCAGGGTTACTCGAGAGCATAGAAATGAAAGGGCTTTCTTTCCTTCTATCCGAACGGTCGGAGAATCAGTTCCAGTGGCTCCGATAAACCCTGCCGAACCTGGCGTCCCTCGCGCGTCGCCATGCACGTGCGAATGCCAAGGGCGGCGTTGGCGAGGAGGGGCGAACGCTTGCTCTTCGCCCTCTGCTCCACGGCCGGAGACACCTTCGCTTATTACTTCTCCCTCCTCGACGACGCCACCAGCGCTCACCAGCTCCGCCAGCTCCACGCCCGCCTGCTGCGCGCCGGCCTCCTCGCCGACGTCGTACTGGGCTCCAAGCTCGTCCGCCAGTACTCCCGCCACGGCGAGCTCCTCTCCTCCGCCTACCCTTTCTTCCTCGGCATGCCTCTCCGCAACCACTACTCCTTCAGCATTGTCATCGGCGAGATGTCCCGCGCCGGCCACCCCCGCCGCGCGGCGGAGCTCTTCGTCGAGATGCGCGCTAGCGGACTTCCACTCGACGCGCCCACCGCCGCCCTCGCCCTTAGATCCTACGGCGCCGCCGGTTGCGCCGCCGCCGGGGCGGCGGCCCACGCCCTCTGCACCAAGCACGGCCTGGAGAGGAACCCCTACGTCGCCTCCGCGGGGGTCTTCCTCTACGCGGCCCTGGGGAGGCTCCCGGACGCTCGAGCCCTGTTCGACGAAACGCCACACAGAGACGCAGTGCTCTGGACGGCGATGCTGTCGGGGTATGCGCAGCGGGGTCCGCCGGAGGCGGCGGTGGAGGTCTTTTCGGAGATGGTGGCTGTGGGGATGGAGCTCGACGGGGTGGCAATTGTGGGTCTTCTCCTGGCCAGCAGCCGCCTCGGGTGGCTCCTCCACGGAAAAAGCGCGCACGGCTTTGCCGTCCGGCGCGGCGTCCCTGCGGGGCTGAGCCTGGGGAACGCGCTCGTTGACATGTACGCCAAGTGTGGCGAGCTCCGTCGCGCCGAGGAGGTCTTCCGCCGGATGCCCCGCCGGGATGTGATCTCCTGGAGCTCCCTGATCCTCGGGCACGGCCTCCACGGCGGCGCCGACCGCGCGCTGGAGCTGTTCTCGTTGATGGCCGCCGACGGGTGCCGCCCCAACGCCGTCACCTTCCTCGGTGTGCTCTCCGCCTGCGCCCACGCGGGGAGGGTGGAGGCAGCGTGGGGCTTCTGGAGGGAGATGGCGGAGCGGGGGGTGGCGCTGGAGCTGAAGCACTACGCCTGCATGGTGGACGTGCTGGCGAGGGCGGGGCGGCTCGGCGCGGCGGAGCGGTTCGCGGCGGAGATGCCAGTGGAGCCCGACGAGGCCGTCTGGGGGGCCCTGCTGGCCGCGTGCCGCACCCATGGTGAGGTCGAGGCGGCGGAGAGGGTCGCCCGGCGGCTGCTCCGGCTGCGGCCAGAGAAGAGCGGCTACTACGTCCTGCTGGCCAATGTCTTCTCCGACGCCGGCAGGTACGGCGACGCAGAGAAGGTGAGGGCGCTCATGAAGGAATTGAACGTGGGGAAGTTGCCCGGCCATAGCTCCGTCGATCTCAGCTGACGACTCCATTACCGCCCCCCCTCACCTTCCGGCGGTAGCAATTGCAGGAGAAGAGCTGGAATAGGCCGCCCAGCAGCGCGTCTGCCTCAGGGTCTGATGGTCCGCCATGGTTTTCAGCTTAGAGGACATCAATCAAGGTTTAGTCAGGAGCCCAAAATAGGCATCTGGAACGCCGTGTCAATTAGGATGAACATCTAAGGAACCTGCTGCGCTCAGCTCCGTTGGCATTTCTGGGGAATGCGAGCAACAGCTACACACTTGTCAAAGGTAAGGAGTTGACTTTCGTGTATCTTTGAAATATAGGAGGTCAATTACGAGAAAACACAGAAGAGAGACACTTGATGAGGAGCCCATGCTTTGATCAATTACATCAAACTATAGATTTGTAAGTTACGGCATAATTTCTGGGAAACCTTTCCAACAATCGGGATTAACACTTGGAAATTGTGTTCACGCATGATCTGTTCATAGTCATGGATTAACAATCAATGCTCCACTGAATTAATCCCGCCGATATTTTATTTTTTCAGAAATTTCAAGCTAAAAATCAAATATTGACTAATTGGCTTATTTTGTGAAAGGATTTTTCTGAAAATGATGATTATGCTTTTAAGCTTCATCTTGTCTGCTGGAAAAATTCTGAAGATTACGGATTCTTTCAGTCACAGTTTTGGGAACCTACAATCTACCAAATTGTTTCAAATTCATGTCCTATGACCATGGATGATCCATCAAAATAGATCTTGGTATATTCAAGAGCAGCTAAGAAGGTCTCATTCTCAGGGTTGTAGAGCTACATGGCTCATTCAATCTGAAAGTTACTCGCCAATGCAATCATCCAAGGTTTATTTTCATCTTGACCATGAATATGTCCATGAAGTTATATTTTGCGTAAGTATTTTTGGGATTTTTTAATTGTGTTGAAGCATGTGATAAGACCCATTGTTTAGGCTCTAATTGCCATTAGCCCCGTCCACATGAAAGGGGATTTCAGCCACATTTTTCATACTGATGTATCAACCATTAAAGCCACATCAGCTAGATCAAAATAATAAGTCCATGAAAATGAGGAAGAACAACTAGTAAGTACATTTAAATTGTTCACAAATTAGATACTCAATTTAAATCCTTCACATAAAATTATCCTCAAAAAAATAGAGAAATAATCAAACATAATAGGAAGGATAGGCCATTGAACTTTGACAATGCACTTTGGGCCCAGAAAATGCACGGCCGTTGTACAGTAACCTTTGACTTGGATCCGCCCCCTCTGAAGAAAGTGATGTGGGACAGGTCTAGGTTTGACTTCTCTGACTGCCATGCTCCTGCCCGGCACTATGAGGTCTATTAAGTTGAAGCACTAAGCCATTGACTTTCCATACCCTGCCCTTCTAGCATGGGATTTTCTTCAAACTGAAAAATGGCGATGTTGAACTCAGTGAACTGTTTTTTCTGTTTAAGGTAAATTTCTAGATATCTCCAAGAAATTTCTACATATAGAACAATAAACAATAAACCCCATCAACCCTAAACTATATCTTGAAACCCTAAATTGTAATTCCTAACCTCTAGAGTACAAAACCTAAACCCTAAATTAGAAAGATTACCCCTCCAATACAATATCCAAAATCCTAAATCATAAATCATAAATCATAAAAAATTATACTATAAAACTTAAGATTGAAACCCAAAGCCTTGTACCCTAAAGTCAAAAACCCCTAAACTTTAAACCTTAATATTTTACCCAAAACTTAAAATTCTAAGCCATAAACCTTGAAGACTAAAACCTTAACCCAATATCCATAGTTCTAAACACTAAAACCAAGACCCAAAACCCAAAAACCTAAAACCTAACCCCTAAATAATATTCATTAAAAGCCTAAAATCATAAACCCTATAGTCATAAACCTTAAAGCACTAAATAATCACCCATCTCAAGGGATGCTACAAATTGTCTAGGGTTCACTACAAGGGCTGCCAAGAAGATTATTTCATCAGTGCAAATAGACTCTTTCATTTTATTGAACTTGAAAATTATATTTTTTATTATATTAATTAAGATATTTTTCTTAATGATTGTTGCAAATCTTGGACATCCTTGGACCAAGTCTTCTAAATGCGTTCAATTCCACTAGACAAGTATTAGAAAACATTATTTTCTTTAAACTAGAAACTGATATTTACAACATTGTACATGGCTCTTTATTCAATTTATTATGAATTCAAAACTTGTCCAAAATATTATATAATATTACATGATAATTTAGAGTCATTACTTATTTTGTTAAAAAAAATTAACACAAAATTTAACAAAATAAGTTTGCAAAGTTACTCGATGTATTATGCAAAATATATCTATAGGCTATAATAAATATGGAAGTTTCATACTTTACTAAAAAATTCCAACAGTATTATGCTGTTTGTCACTATGACAGCTTTAGTAAATATTGACAATTTATGCATCAATATATAAAATAACTAGATAAATAACTTCAACAAAATGGGTATTGAGTCTAAATAAATTATTAATAACTTCATCAATATTAATTTTTGATTGAGTTCTGAGTTCAGAATAAATTAAATAAATAGTCATGCACAATCTTGTAAATAGTGATTTAAGTATAAAGTCAAAAATATTTTTTTAAGTTTGTCCATTGAGATTGAACACATCTAGAAGACTTGGTCTAAGGACATCTATGATCTACAGCAAGCATTGAGAACAATATCTTAATTAACATTAAAAAAATATAATTTCTGCAATCAATAAAACAAAAGATCTATCCCCACCAAGATGAAATAATCTCCCAGCAGCCCTTGTAGTGAACCCTAGACAATCTGTAGCATCCCTTGTGATTGCTAGAACTATATTCTAGCAAGACTATATAATAACAGCATGTACAAGAGGTGACTTCTTACACACACTTGTCATTTATACATAAGCCAAGGTTTAAAACTCTGTCCTATTTCAATGCTCAAACCTCAATGTCACAATGATAAAACTCCAAACTCTATAATCTCCAAACCCTTATAAGACATGAAAACTAATACCTTGAACCCTAAACTCTAAAATTCTACAACCCTAAAACCCTACTTGCTGAATTTGAAAACCCAATGATAAAACCCAAAACCGTAAAAATGCAAACCCTAAGCCATATCTTGATCCATGAAGCATAAGCCATAGACTGCACCTCATCAATGTAATATTCAAGATCCTAAACACTAAACCCTAAGTCATAGATATCAAACTATAAACGCTAGAACTAAAACCCTTGTCATAAACCCAAAACCTTGTACCCTAAAACTAAAACCCTTGTCATAAACCCAAAACCTTGTACCCTAAAACCAAAAATCATAAACTGAAACTTTAATATTTTACCTTAAACCTAAAACCATAAACCGTGAAGACTAAACCCTTAACCTGACATCCATAATCCTAAACCCTAAAGCCAAATCCCAAAAACCTAACCCCTAAGTACCATTCACTAAAATGCCTAAAATCATAAACCCTAGAGTGTAGGAAAAATCTTGGATGATATCAGGGATAGGAGATTCAAATTAAACCATGAAACACTAATCTTAAAAGCTTCATTGTGAGCAAGAGGGATGGGAGATTCAAATTAAAACTCAGAGGCATTGAGGCCTATGCCCTCAAATCCACCACCCACCCTTCATCAAGCATCATTTCTACCTTATATCAGGGAATTTCAGACCTACACTTGTAAATCTTGGATGAAGCATTATTATTGTCAAGAATATGTGCTTTGAGATGGGGAAAGAAAGTGTAGGCCATCAAGGAATGGAAATATGTACCAATTTTTCATTAAATACGATGATATACCATTGAATTAAATTCAACCACATCCAACTAATGCCATCTGCAAAGTCAAGAGGATCTAAAAGTTCACATATCACCCATTAACAAAGTAATTGCAATAGTAACAATAACATGAATAATAGTAAGAATAATGATCAGAAGAATGATGATGATTGATGATGAGAATAGCCACTAGTCTTCCCCTAACTTAAAGGAGACAACATCATATCAGGCGAGATATGCACCCAAAAGTCCAATGCCCCTGGTTTTCACGAAAACTGAAGGATAGAGAGATAGAAAAGATAAACAGGAAGGGAAAGAAGAGTGTCGAAGCATACCCCCCTGCGTTTTTCCACATTACCCCCCTTCGTTCTTGCGGCTTTTTCTCAGAAGATGATGTGGTTTCCTGCGAGAAACCACTGGGTTGATCTACAGAAAATGATCGATCGCCCAGGAATCTGAAAATCGAATGTGCCTCCTTCATTCAGCTCGCTCACACATCACTGTGAATCGACAAAACTTGCTGCATAATCTTTACTCCCCCTGAGTTTAAAACTCAATCCGTCCCCACTTGTAGATAGATCCACCCGAAATTTCAAATCAAATTAGCAGAGAAGCGGCAAAACCATTCGGAAGAAAGTAAATAAATAAGAGGAAAAAGGAAAGATGGGCTTTCTTCAGCAATCTCGCATCACCCACACCATAGCAGGCAATCGAAAATCTGAACCCCGCGTCCCGGTCAGGGGTGAGACATTGGAATCAAGGAAAATCAAGAATCCATCGAAAGACGCCACAAGAACATACCCCCAAATCAAAGAAAATCAAGAATCTATCAAAAGAGACCACAAGAACATACCCCGATCGCCTATCCAGGGGAGCTGAAGGCGGGGACCCCACGGTCGGCCCTCTCCGAGAGGTGGCGCCGACTGCAACCTCGGAGTATCTCGGATGCCCCTTGGCATCTTCGAGGGTGGTCCTTTCCACCAAATGCCGAGCGGCCAGAAGGACAGCATCAGGTGCGGCCGCCCACTCCTCCGGATTCGAGCAGGAGAAAGGGACCCAGAAGAACTCAACGGAGAGGAGAGGAGAGAAGGCGGTTGGCTATCCAAGATCCTCCATGCTTCGTAGAGCGACGACGCATGCACAGAAAGAAAGATCGCGAGAGAGAGAGAGAAAGGGAGAGATATATAAGAAGCGCAGAGAGCGAGAGAGAGATTTGTATAAAGAAAGAGTGCGAGAGAGCCTAAGAAAGTGAGATATATATAGAGAAAGTGCGAGAGATAGAAAGAGAGGCAAAGAGAAAGAAACAGAGATCAATGACGTCCATCTCCATCTGCTGCTCCTTTTTTAGGTTCTACCAACATTGCTTTCCAATTACAATTCTCCTAGGGATCTCACCTAAATTATCCACCGGCCAAAATCCCCTTCTTTTCCGTCCTCCATATTTTCAAAATTACACATTTTAGATACCTCGATTTGTATTTGTGTCTACACTCTTTAACCGTCATTCCCCAATCATCTCTAATTTAAACTTATTAATATAACAAGGGATTCTATGCATTTAGCTAATTACGGTTGCATCAAACCATAAAGGATCTAAACAAAAATAAAGAACTTTAAAACCTCTTAAATTTATTTTTGTTTGGACCCTGCATTTAACTTATAGGAAATTATTTGCTGCCCCAACCTGCATTTCTCAACTTTTGAGGTGCTTTTATGAAATTTATCAACATTTGAGATTGGTCCCTTGATTCTTCCCTCCTTTATCTATAATTTATGGAGCGTAAGTACATAATAGATTCAATAATAAAAGTACCATCACACATCTTTTATCGGGCACTCATTTTATTTAAAATGAAAGTTATAGTTTTTAAACTACCATGTTCATGCAAAAACAAAATAGTTGTTGAGAACCTTGTTAAGCACAAATTATGTACCCCAGCTAGTAGACAAACTAATTTCAGCCATGGCCCTCTTATTCAAGAAAAAACAAAAAAAATTAGGCTCAATTCACTAAATCAAACCAAAGTCTGATTCCTCTCTCTCTCTCTCTCTCTCTCTCTCCATAATGCATAGTTATTGATAGTTGGGACCAGCCTATTTCCTTTTGGGCTCAATTTGGAGGGCCACTTCTCAATAAATGTGTCAAAATGGATTTCAAACTTGCTTTCCCATTAGCTTGAAAAAATATGATTTGGGTATGCACCCTTCTATTGACAACTTAAACTTTCTGCAATAAAATATGTGCTAAAAATGTACCATAAAATGGGTCTTTGTTTTGCTGAGTTCTACTTTAGTTAAATTATTAAATTAATAGATTTTCTTCTAAAACTCCTTGATCGGCCCATTCTTGGAGGCAGCTCTGATCATGACCTTAGAGTATCACATCTGCTCATAGCTGTTTGTGGGGGTGGTATCCTCCAAAAATGGAACATAACTAGAAGAAGGACGTTGTTAGATTCAGCAATGCATTCTTTCATATTTGTGTAGGATAGGGGACTCGTAAGAATTTGATGGATAGGAGAGTAGAAGGTAGATAGATAGATAGAGATAGAGAGATACAAGTGAATGAGGGCCTTCTCCATCAGCCACTAATCATATATGTCCTACAATTAGTTACTACTTTCTAATTATCATTCTATCATTGATCTAACACAAATTATTAAACTACCCAAATCACCTTCTTTTCCTTCCATGATATTTCAAAATTACTCACAATTGATACAGCTCAAATTTTATTTACATATGTACATTTTACTTTGAGAGTGTTTAGTCCCAAAGCTAAATTTGTTAGTCTAACATATGATTCTATGCATTTAATTTATGATGTCTCTAAGTGTAGATGGGCAACAGAAGTCCAAAACAAGAGGGCCAACTACTTTGAAAATAAGCATATGGATACAAAGACAAGCACATATGCAACATAGTTGGCCACCAAACTTAAAAGTGGAGCACTAAAAATCAAGTTAGTTGTTCTCTAGAACTTAGTTGGCCTACCATTGTTTTTTTGGTTGGAGGAGCCATTGAGGTGAGGAATTTGGTTAAAAGAGAATTGAGATAGGGAGTAAGCAAAGGTGATGGCCTTGTCTAATTGGTGATCTCTTCACATCTGAAAAAGATCTATCTTGACTCATTTAAAAATTGAATTATTATCATTTAAAAAAGGAATGTACACATTCCCAACATAAAAACAGATGATTGTACTATTTTACTTGATTTTTGTGTCGTTTTCTTCTCATAGAATGTCCCTTTCTTCTCCTAGTGTTCATGCACAACATCCATGCAATCTTTAGTGTGGCCAACTTGGGTTGATGATGATATATTGGCAGTAGCTGATCTATTGGACTAACCCACTAGAATTGAGGTGTGAAGGTGAGCTCCTCCAATGTTACTCCAAAAAAAAGTAAGAGAACAAGTAAATAAAGGCGCCTATTTTCTTGCTACTAAAAGAGTCCCTTGAAATGGAGGATGATTTCTAGGAAAGGAAAAGCCAGGTCATTGAAGCTTTTTTTCTTCTTTTTTCACTCCAAGCATAGCCGTTATTTTCAAACTTATTTTCCTCAAATTTTCTTCATACCGGGACTCTTCTTGTTTGTGATTAGCCTTCTAGTAAAGAGTAATTAATTATTCCCGATAATTAGTAATTATAAAAAAGTGTTTTATTCGTCCCCTTTAATAATGTATTTTAAAGTTAATGTTGACAGCCGTAGCTTTTTTGGAAGAAAGCCGGAATCTGTTCGCTGGTCTACATATATCAGGGGAGCAGAGTGGTGGTGGCTGGAGCTTCCTTGTGCGGCTTTGGAACGGGAGGAGAAGGAGCCCAAGAATGTCTGGCAAGGTGGGAGGTGCGGAGGACGTCGGTGGGGCGGAGAATGGGCCCGAGATCGAGGAGCTAGCCCGTTTCGCTGTTGACGAGTACAACAAGCAGCAGGTAGTTCCTCCCCTCTCTCTGTGCGTTGATACGCTAGAAATTTGCCCTAAATTTCTTTTTTTTTCTCAAGATCATATTTTCCTAGCAATTTCTCGAAAGGATGATCTACTTCTGGTCGACTGTCGTCATTGCTCGTCGTCTTTTCCCCAATAAGCAGATCGATCTCCACCCCCCACCGGATTGGTTTCTTCACAGAAAATGATTCTCGATGCTGAGCTCTCGATATTTACTCTCTAGTTTCCATTTTCCCTGCGACATCCGGTTTTTGTTTCGTCGAGCATTCTTGTGACACATGGTGCTGAGATTCACGACTCCTCCCGCGGAGTGTCCGCTTGGCTACCCTGCAACTCTACTATTTCTTTTCTAGTTTTCTTGTGGATTTTTTCATGGGAGGAGACTGCCCTCATTTTTTTTTGTCAACCAACTTCTAGCGTGTTGGGAATACGAGTCTTTATCCATCTCCGTCATTGTAGGAGGATTTCATTTCAGGATATTGGGCTCGGCATGAAAGCATTGGAATTATGTGGAGAATAGATACATTTTGCCTTCTTCCTCTGGAAAAATAAAACCCTTGCGTTCTCAATTATTGATTGATTGATTGATCTCTGCCGAAAGGGAATTCGCAGTTGTCTCATTTTCTGGCTCTTTTTTCTTACCCCAGAACGGCCTTCTTGAGTTCTCTCGAGTTGTGAAGGCCAAGACGCAGGTCGTTTCAGGCATCATGCATCACCTCACTGTGGAGGTTAAGGAGGGCGGCGTGAAGAAGCTGTACGACGCCAAGGTCTGGGTCCAGGGGTGGTTGAACTCCAAGAAGCTCCACGATTTCAAGCAAATTGGTATTCTTCGCTCATTGAGATCAAGTCTCATCTTTCATTGAGATTTCAAGCAGATTGGTTCTGTTTTTTAATAACCCAGAGGGAAATAACGAAGCTAATAATTGTCGATTAGGAATTCGTGCAAGGACCGCATGGATCATATCTTTTTCACGTAGGAATCTCCACTTTTCTGTTGGTCACTGATCTAGATCCTACCATATATATATATAGGTCATGCTTTCAAGTGTATATGGTTCTCAAGACGTAGCTTCCTCTCCTCATCTTGGGTTTCCTCAAATGATTTGGATCATGGCAACCTACTTTATTTTACGCATTTTTGCTTAATTTTTACACGTGTATAAGCAACGCAAACTTCTTCTTCTTCTTCTTCTTCTTCTTCTTCTTCTTCTTCTTCTTCTTCTTCTTCAATAGTGAGCTTTTCACCGTGATTCATCTTATCTTCACTACATGCAATTTGGACAGTAATTAATTCTCCCATTTCCGAAATCTTTGAAATCTTTTTTAGCTTCTTATCTAGCATGATTAAATCAACATATTTAAAAACTTCTTATCTAGTATAATTTAATCACTTTAATTATAGATACGCTTTTAGGTTCCTTTCCACGAGTAGGAAATTGTCCCATCCCAGGTGGGAATTGGGTATAATGTTCTTCTTTCTTGTTTCTTCTCTCTGTCTGTGGTGAACTGGGAGGGCATCCCTCTGAACAATACTAATCAGGAAAGGGCAAGAACATAGTTTGAAACCCTCCATGGTTCTGATCTTAATCTTTTCCATGCTCCTCAGCTGACTGACGGCTGACGCCCAGGAAGCTGGACGAGAAGAAACTGGGGATCTTCTTCACATGGATCTTGTGTAGAGGTATCGATCACACACTATATATTATATAGCAAATGGGATGATGCCATGAATTGAATGACAGACAGCGTACTATGTTGGTGATGCCCATGACGTGGGCTATTTTAGACTTGTCAAATAAATCACCCTTTCATTGATGGCAAAAAAGCAGGCAAAATGTGATCATTTATGGGTTTATTATCTTTCGTTTACCCCCCCGGACGAAGAGGGGTGATGAATGGCATATTTTCTAGAAACCCTCACGGCATATCTTAATTTTCTTCAAAACCCTCTTGGGAGTGATTATCCTGTATGCCGAATATGAGAGAGAGAGAGAGAGGGAGAGAGAGAGAGAGAGAGATCATAAAGGTTTCGGTTTTAATGAACTGCACGTTAGGAGGTATTTGGCCGCCAAAATCATATTTAAAAATACTCAGAAAATGGCAACCGCATGTCTTAATACTTGATTTTGCTGTTGTCTCCAAGAGCTTCCTGGGTCCAAAGCCACCACAACGATCTAAGATAATAGTTTTTTTTGTTACCACCACCTTCAACTTTGCAAAATTAGATATATGCCAGTGCACATATCTCCGAAAATCATGAAAGAATTTTCCGGCCAGATTAAGTATTTTCCAAGCCTTTTTAATATCTCCGAAAATACTCGGCTGAGGCTTCTCCACTGAATTTATCTTGCAAAAATATGCCTGTAAAATTGTTTAATATCATAAAATTTTGAGGATGTTGGAAAGTTAAGAAGAAAGAAAACAGGAAAAGTATTTTTGTAATAAAAGCTGTAAAGGACTGTTCATAAAATTGTGCATTGGCCAGTGAGAGGGGGACGGCTATTTTATTAATAGTGAAAATTAGAAGGGTGTCTCTGAGGTTTCCCAAAAACCCTAGCAATACTCACTTCTCCGGCGGGAAAACCCCTGCGCGGCTTTCCCTGATCTCACGCACTCTCGGAGAAGCGGCAGCAGCTATGGCGAGGGATCCCGGCGGAGCTCTGTGGTGGTCGTCGGCGCTGGCCCGCCGGCTGAGCACCGCCGCGGCAGAGGGGCGCGAGGGATCCTTGTCGGCGGCGTGGGCCACGGGCCGGGTGGCGGCGCCGCCGAAGCAGCTGTACCGGAGGCTGTCGGCTCTGGGAGGGCAGCCGAAAGGGGCCGTGGCGAGGGCCATGAACAAGTGGCTTCGGGAGGGGAATACTGTCAGGGCGGCGGACGTCATGAAGTTCGTCAAGGAGCTCCGCAAGTACAGACGCTTCGGGCACGCCCTGGAGGTGTGAAGCGCTCGAACCCTAACTAAACTTGCTGTGATCTTCTGCGTACGAGGAGGAACCTTAGTTAGTTGTCTATACTCGCTACTTCTTCCTCCCATTGGTGCCAGCGGATGTAAGATTCATGCAATCGCGGGATTTCTCTGGCTATGATGATCCGTCAAGGTTCGCTCACAGGAGGAAATCAAATGCAACTTCAGCAGATTCTTTTGAGTTGATAATTTGCGAAGAGAGAAAATACTGCTGAGTTGATAATTATTCTAGCTGGAAGAAAGGCACAAATATTAAGGCGACGTCCGATGGTGTTCTTGAGCGGCGAATTCGTTTTCTCGTCCGATTTATTATTTATGTAGTGATCGATCGATTGATCGATTGATCGATTGATATTGTTTTTGATGATGCAGCTAATGGAGTGGATGGATACCCGGGGGATGAACATGTCCCACAGCAACTATGCGGTGCGCCTCGATCTGATATGCAGGGTTGAGGGAATCCAGTCGGCGGATAAATATTTCGCCAGCTTCCCGGAGCCCGCGAAGAACCTCCTGACCCATGGGTCGCTCCTCAACTGCTACTGCACGGAGAAGATGGAAGAAGAGGCGTCGGCCTTCTTCGATAAGATGAAGGAGCAGAAGCTCGTCTCCAATTCCTTACCCTACAACAACATGATGTCCCTCTACATGAGGGTGGGCAAGCCTGAGAAGGTCCCCTTCCTCATGGAGGAGATGGCGGAGCGGAAGATCCCCCCCAACGACTTCACCTACAGCATCCTGATGAACAGCTATGCGGCTCTGAACGACTTTGAAGCCGTGGAGAGGACCTTCAAGGAGATCGAGCGGTCCGGCGGCGACAAAGCCAAGTGGTCCATTTACAGCAACCTAGCTTCTCTCTATATCTCCGCTGGGCTCGCCGACAAGGCCGAGGGGGCACTAAAGAAGGTGGAGGAGAACATGGATAGAGGAGACCGGCAGTGCTTCCACTTCCTCATCACCTTGTACGCCGGCCTGGGCAAGCTGGAAGAAGTCAATCGGATCTGGGCCACCCTGAAGTCAACCTTCCCGTTGACCCTCAACATGAGCTACCTCACCATGCTGCAGTCCCTCAGCAGGCTGGACCAGCTCGACGCGCTGGAGAGGTGCTTCCATGAATGGGAATCTGGCTGTGTGGCATATGATATCAGGCTGGCCAACATACTCTTCTGTGCTTATCTCCGGAGGGACAAGGTGGCGGAGGCTGAGGCCCTCCGGAAGAAGGTCGCCGGCAGGGGCTCCGAACCCGATTTCCGCACCTTCGAGATGTTCATTGATTACTACATCAACAAGCAGGATATGGCCCGGGCGCTCGAGTACATGCAGGAGGCGATGTCAAAGGCGGAGAAGACCCGGGTGTGGAAACCCAGCAAGTCGAAGGTCGATGCCTTCTCAAAGTACTTCGAGGAGGAGGATGATGCGGCCGCCGCAGAGGAATTCCAACAATGGTTGAAGAAGCTGGAAGCCGAGTGAAGAAGCTGGAAGACGAGGCCTCTGCTTCCCTAGAACTGAGAGTTCTGATGGCTGCTCTTCAAGCGAGGTCCGCTCTGAATCATTATCAGAGATTCAACCATAACTGGAATTGCTTTTTCCATTTTTTTACTAATTTTGGATGAATTCTCTTATCATGGCTGTACCCAGAGCGGAATCTTCTTTGGGTCTCTCTCGCGACCTCACAAACAGAATATAAAGTGTTTACATAGCAACTCATTTTATTACAGCGCATAGCAGAGGACATTTCCCATCCAAGAAAAGGTAAAAAAAAAGAAGAAAAAAGAAAAAGAGAAAAAAAAAAAAGCATAGGTGGCTGAGAAACCTGGAGCTGCTGATTCATCCGGCTGAGTTCCTACTGCCATCCAGCTCTTCATATTTGCTTCTATTCTTTACTGTGAGTGAGTATTCATCCGGCTGAGTTCCTACTGCCATCCAGCTCTTCATATTTGCTTCTATTCTTTACTGTGAGTGAGTTAGTCGCCTAGAAGTGTAAATGGCAGTATCAAGGGGAGTGGACGTGGGGCCTTCCCCTCCTCTTCCTCCTTTCACAGATACCGCCAACAGAGGCTGCCCTTGCCGCCACATTCAGACAAGCCCTCTATGTTCAACGGGCTCGACTATTGAATATGCCTGCCTCCTAGGTCAACGTCATTCATTCACCCATCTTCGTTGTCATAGTCTTCTTCTTCATCCTCCAGCGGTCTCTTCGACAAAGCAAACTGGAGCGGATCTATCCCCATCTTGCCCATGCCGAGGAGCGGCCAGCCTTCTGGGTACTCTTCTTCTTCTGGCTTGGCATCAGGAATGGGAGCGGTGACAGCAGCCGTGGTGGTGCTGCTGGTGGTTGGAACCACTGCCGTGCTCCCATTACCATCTGGGTTTTCATTTAGGTCAAAGTTCCGCACCACCGAGAACGACCCATCATCAGAGACTGCAGTGGCTTCCTTCGATTCTCTGGCATCAAGGTTGTTCTTCCACTGATCAGAAGAGGGGACCTGTCTCAGCTTATCTTCGGCCTTGTTGGATGGCAGGTCATGGTCGGCTGCTCCCGCACCCCGGCCACGCCCTCTCCCTCGACCCCTGCCCCGCCCTCGGCCACCGCCACCGCCACCACCACCACCATGGCCTACCAACTCCTGCTACACAAACAACAATGGCGCTTTCAGTGTTTCACTCAAGAATCAAGCGAGCTGAGAAGATTATCATTAGTCTTTTGGGTAAGATCCTCTTACGGCCTTGCTCCTCTTCATATCCTCATCAGTCTCATTATCCTCCCCCTCCAAGGCTTTTCTGGAAAGAAAGTCGCAACAGCTGGGTGAGGGTGGCCTTCCAGTGGGAATTCACTAAGAGGTGACAGCGCAAGAACTGTTTCTCTCTCGAACCTTTTTCTGGCTGGTCTGTCCTCCCCGCCAGTATCCGAGTGACCAATGTCCGGAACCTTGCTAACAATGTGCCGCAGAAAATCAAAGACGCCAAAACTTTGGACACATTGCTTCCTGGATAGTCATTAAAAAACATCAAATGTTGACCAAGACATTTTCCCAACGATGACCCTCATCGAGGTTCCCGAGAACCACAAAAGCCAACGCCATCTCGACTAAAATTGGACTTTACCTTCATCAAGGTTCTTGAGAGCTACAAAAGTCAACACCATCTCGGCTAAAATTGGACTTGACCCTACGATGACCGTTATCTAAACTAGAAGTCAATAAACAGCATCAAATGCTGGCGAAAGCATTTTCCCAAAGATGACCCTCATCTTGGTTCTTGAGAGGTACAAAAGTCAACACCATCTCGGCTAAAATTGGACTGGACCCTTATAATGGTTCTCGAGAGCTACAAAAGTTGACACCATCTCGACTAAAATTGGACGTGACCCCCTCATTGTGGTTCTCAAGAACCATAAGTCAACACGATTTTGGCTAATACTGGACTAGTTCAAAGTTGAGGTGACTTACAGGTGCAAGGAGCTCATCGTTTTGGCACCTCTCTGCAGAGTTATGTCATACGTCCGGTCACAGAGGTCTTGCAAGAATAATTCCAACGCTTTAGCTGAAATCCGCATACAACAGAGTTAGGAACATAAACCAGTGCGAGCGAGCGAGCGAGAGAGAGAGGTAAATTGAATTTCCATCGTCTGGTTGGATTATGCATCGGCTTCAAATTTAATCAGATATATGAAAACTACGATCAACTCGAAAGGGTCCGTGACATGACATTACGAAAATCAACAATAATTGGATTCATTCCCCAAGAAACTGGCGAAATTTTCAGCTGGAATTTTCAAAGACAGTTGTCTACCTTGGTCAATTCTGAATTCTCGAAATCAAGATAGAGATTTTCCGCATGATCAGAGCAAGGAAAATGGCAACAATAGGAACAAACTTTAAGGTCTATGGCGTTGAACACATGAGAGGGACCTCCTGACTCACATACTAAAAGAGGAACAGCCATCGCAATCTTCCCCACATCTTCATCTGCTTGCATGATCTTCTTGATTCGTGCCTGCAGAAGAATACACACGACACATGAAGCCACCAATTACGATCGTAAAATCACAAGAAATTCATATACAACTCATTAAAGGGGCTGACAACGATGGCAAGGAACTCTTTGGAGTTTTTTTATAAACTTAATAATTGTAATTATGTATCTGCTGTGGCCTACACACCGAAAAACCAGGAAAAGTCGATCAGGTTTGAGAAAAACACCTTATTGAATGAGTACCTCGCGTTATTTAGATCGGATTTTTGCACAGGAGCTAGGATTGTTGGCATGAATTAACCACCCCGTCAGTTAGTTCATTACGATCACTACTTTTGTTCAGCATATTTATATCAAACTCAGATAGTAAATAGTGGTTCAAGTTGACAAAGCTCAATCCATAGAAGGAGATGCGTGAAGCAGGATGGAGATGAAGGAGAAAGCTGAGTGATGGGGAGGGAACTAATTAGGGTCTCATACACTGCTGGAAAGATAATCAGGAAACCCTAGAAACGCCGCAGCCTCTGAATTGATTCTCAACTGCAGTACCTCTATGGGCTTTTTCCGGTAGTTTTTTGACAGATTAAAAAGGGTGAGATTCTGGGTTTAAGCCAGCCAAAGAAACTCAGTTCCAATCCCTTCTCAGATTCTTAATCTCTCAGATTTGGATATCTTGAACTCAACCAACATGCAGCAATGGATTTCTCCTGGTGAGGAGCTACGATCCCTTTGATCGTCCTCGGAGCAAGTTTAAGCGCTGCGTTCGAGACATTTGTGATCCCCTCCAATGGTTGATCTAAACCATGGCCGTAGATGAAACCAAAATTTCTGGAAATCATCGAAACAGATATGCTTTCAAGTTCTTCACCCAAATTAAAGTTAGGGCACCGTACGAGATCAGATAATTAAGAACCTGGAATCCCTAGGGTTGCCGATTTCTGAGAGCAAGGATTTAAATCTTTGCGATAGAAAACTTAAAGACCGGGGCCAGCCCTGGCGCAAGCAAACAGAAGGCAAAAACCAAAACACCAACCACAGTCCGGATGTTTCTTCAACAGAAAATCATCTTGAAATCGCCAGCAATGCATAGGCACAAAACCCTACTGATTTTCAAATAAAATACAGATGGATTTAGCAGTATTATGAGCTCCAGTAGGAGCCCGGAAGAAACCATCAGCCGCATGGATGAACGTAGAGAGGGAGAGAGAGAGAGAGAGAACAGTAGGAAGAGACGTACCGCAGGAAAACGGGTGTCAAGCTTCTTTCTCATGGCTCCTCTCTCTCTCTCTTCAGCATCAAGCTGGTGCAGTCTCCCTGCTTCTCCCTAGGTTCTCCTCCTGGAGGAACAAAAAAACCTTGCCTGCGCCTCACGTCGATTTCACCCGGATTGGGAAGGAGGCCGATAACACAAATACAAGCTGGGCTAGGTCCCTTCCCCGTCCCCTTCCGCTTCCCCTCCTGTTACCTGGTTAGAAGACAACCAGAGGCAAGCTAATCACATTGACGGGAACAATGAATAAGATCAAATTCTCAGCAGGACGGGAGGAGAGAAGACGCCAACAACCTCACTCACCAGGGAAAGTGAAGGACGGCGCTTTCTGGCGCTTCCAGAGTTCCCCTCAGTTCGAACGCCTATCCTCTCTCAACCCTCTCTCTCTTCTTTCTCTCTCCTATCTCTCTCTACTCTTTGTCTCTCTTCTTTCTAGGGAAAGCCGGGGGAGAATGGAAGAGGGGGAAGTTAACGAGTTTTAAATAAAGCTTCATGGGAAAGTACGGTCACTCGCGGTGGGTAGGAATCGGTTACCGCTCGGGGTGTTCCCATTCTTCTGTGTCAGGTGTCAAGGATTAATCTTGAGGGTGGTAACCTCATGCGCGTGGTGGAATCTGGCTCGTGTATTGACCGAACCGACGGTGGATAGACAGACGGCCAATCTTGAGGGCTACAGAAAATGGACAGTTTCTGATGGGACTCGAAGGCTGGATGCCGGGATCGAACGGTTTGTGTACGCAGCATGTTAATGAATGGGCCACAAATCGGAAGCCCACTAACAGAAGACCCATTTTCTGCTCGGGCCCGAATAAGGGGAGAAAGAAGCATTGAGTTGGGCCTCATTCTTGGGCCTGGGGCCTAAACATAGTGCTATGGAGAAAAAGGGTTTACAGTCAGACCCAGTTGACACATTGAGTTGGCCCATGTCACTTCCGCCCCAAAAAAAGTGAATAAAAGGGATCATAAAAATATCTATAAACTCATATGGATACAAACGTTATGATGATAAGTCTAAACCGACAGAATATGAGGACTTTTAGGTAATATTTATTCTCTCCCCCTCTCTATCTCTCTCTAGAAACCTACTGTTCTCTCTCCACTCGTGTGTCTTCTCCAAATGGTGAAAAGAGGAGTCTATTTAAACTCGCAAGGAATGAATGTGGGATCAGTGAAGAGTAATAAATTGATCCAGTCGATTGTTTTGATTTCCGCATATGGAGGGTCTCAATCTTTTCTTATGAAATTGAATAGCAATCTATATGGAGAAAGAAAAAAGGGCAGAGACGGAGAAGCGTGCAGCAGAGGTAGTGATTAAGTTGGTCAAATTTGGGTGTTATGGAACTCTTCAATTGAATCATGGTCTCATTGTCAATTTATTGTTCTCTCAATGGGGAATATTTTAACATGAGGAGGAACATATTTACTAGTTATATCATCTGCAATCGTTTGAATCTCAAGACACTCTTCAAACCAGTCATACACTTTTTTGAGATAGGTAAACCAAGGTAACTCCCCCTCCCGAGAACTGTATATGAGAATTTAATATCATACAGAGGGAATAAAAAGAGGTTTATAGTTAATAATTAATAAATAATATAGTTTTAGCCTTAACTCCTGATAAATAGACTTATATTTATGTTAAATTATAAAAATTAGTTTCAATTGATTAATTTGATTTTTTGGTTAATTATGTGATTTTATGTGAATTTATAAGATTTTTATAATCCTATTTTTGAGATAAATGAAGAAAAAAATAAAATAAAAAGATAGAAAAAAAGGGGGGACTCGCCGGCCAGCTGGGCTTGCAAGCGAGTTGGAAGCACAATTGGGACGAAGCTGCGAGTAAGGGCTCAAGCGGCTATGGATCGATGAGGGCACGTGTGCACCACTCTCCTTCCATATCACTAGTGATCAACCGATTGTGAGACAAGGAGTGATCATACATATGAAAAAGGTACTCATTGCTTATAAATCTGATATTACTTTATATTCATCCAAAACTTTAGCGTACAATTGATGTGAGATTAAATCGGCGGTCACATCTTCCTCAGAATAGTTTTGATTATTTTAATATCCTAAATACTCCTTAATTATAATAGAGATATACCATGATGACAACACTTTATAAGAGTATTAGATTACTTATTTCAATCTCTCTCATACAAGCAGATGACAGATGTAGATTCGAATCCTACTAGAGCCAAAATATATTTTTTATCTGATTAAATCATAACTTTTCTACAGATCACCGGTGAAGGATTAAGTCGTTAGAATCACTCAATCATCAATGAAAATCTCATCAACATGATTCGTAGAGCATTGTTACTAAAATTGTTAAACGATTCGTGATAAAAGGATCGTGAATCTATTGAGTAAAACATCTCTGATTGATTGATGAACAAGTCATCGTTAGGAAGAGGACGATCAATCGAGAGATGAGTCGCCACCTCTTGAGAGCATACTAAATACGATGAAGAGCCTCCTCTTGTTGCATGGACTTGAGGATGAAGCTCCCCAACACATGCCCCACCTCTATCTAGCTCTTTTTCGTCGAGTGACAGTTGCTAAAGATGATTTGATGACCTATTTCATTGATCTTTAGATTTCACAAGAAGATTTAGAGATTACTCACATCATCCTTCTCCAAAGAAGAGCCTTCTCCAAAGAGTGATAACTTGTGTGATTTAAATCTACCAAATTATTTTTCATTCAATTATAATTTTTCTTTCTTTTACAAATCTTAATTTGATTAATTAAATCATTTTTCATCACTTATGTAAGAATCACTAGATGAAACTCTATTTTTGTCTGATTTCGTCGGGTGCTGACATCATCTTGACATCTACATCCTTATTTTCCTTTTTAAAAATTTTTAAATATATTTTATTTTTATTTTTTAATCTAAAATTTATAAAAATATATATATTATTTGAGAAAAATTCTAAAAAATTATCCAATATTATATTATATTTATTTTTAAACTATATTTCATTATTTTTTTAACTTTTATTAAATTATAATTGATATATTTATTTAGAAATATTTCTAAATATCTAAAAATTAGTATTTTCTAGTTTTATAAATTTAAATTTACATGATTTACTATACAATGACTAAGTCACGTCACTTATCTATTTCTCAAGAGATATTATCACTCATAAAAAATGACACATAAGGGTTGGTAGTTGGATAAATATAAAAGCATATACATGCTTGCCTAATGTCTAGTTTGTTAGAGGCATCATTGATGATGAACTTCCTAGGTTGAAAAAAATGTCTAATTAGAAAAATGCTGAAAATTAAATCTTAGTGCTTCCTAGACTCTATTAAACTGCATGACCTATTTTAAAGTAGGTTCTATTGGCTTTGGCATTGTCGTTGGTTTTAATACTGATTAATACATGGAATAATAAAATGGTAGTTTTGCCCTATCAAAATTATAGGTAAGATATTAGAAAAATATTGGCAGAATATTTTCCTTACAGAATAATATAACTTAATTTCAGGAGTAATTTTAGGATTAAGTTGGCATATAGTAGGCTGGGCTGATAGAGATAGCTTCAGGTTGACAAGATTGGTTTGGGTTAAGCCAATGTCTATTTGACTGGGTTGACAAACTATACATGAAAAAATGAACACCACAGATTTATAGATGGTTTAGGGTTTTTGCCAATCTATATATACTTTTCAAGAGTTTCTTCCCTTGGTTTCCACCATTCTCCCCTACAGAATTTGAAATGAATATTCATCAGATCCGTAGATCCCTTATATAAGAAAATTTACTAGACTAGAGTATCCCCCCATGGTAGACACTGATGATCATATTGTCTTTCTAACCCTAGTTCAAAAAACTTAAAAATCAATCTGAAATAATGAGCCTCAATGTAGTGAGTGGTTGATCACTCAAGGAAGCCTTAGAGAGGTTGCAATTGAAAAAAAGAATTAAAGAGTGATTTTGGAGTATTATACAAGATTTAATTTATCATTGAGGCACTATTTGAAATCTCTTGCACTAAGTTAAGTTATTTATAGAGTACAGGAGGAAGATCACTAGAATTCAATTATCTTAGATTAGATTGGTCAACAATACTTAGGTCAGCATCAAGGCCAACTTGGCAAACACTTTGAGGTGTTAGCACCTGATTTTGGCTTTTGATTAATTTTTTCACTTGTAAGTATATACAAAACCTTTGTCAAATATCTTCCAACATGCGTCATCATTTGACATGCATGGTATGTCATATTTCTAGGGAATTTCTATCATTTCTTGCTCATGGCATTTGGTTTCACTTTCTCTTGGTTGGTACATTTTCTATCCCTTCAATTTTACATAGATATTCAACTTTGGTTAGTTGATATCTTTTCACTCTCTATTGTTCCTTCTTAAAACTTATATGTTTGTTATTATTTTTTGTTTATAAGTTGGTGGTCTATTTTCTTCTACAAATGCCTTAAAGACATTTCAAGGACAAAGGAGGCTAGATCAAATGTTGTAGATATTGATCTGTGCATTAGTGTTGTAATAATTTACTTATCAAAGTTTTTTCATGTTATGCTTAGGTAGTTAATTATAGAATCAAAATCTTTCACCCAAGAATTTCCCCATTTGATGTTGACAAAAAATTTCTCAATCATAGATATGTGGTGAATGAATGATACTACCATAGTACAAACATATAAATGTTCAATGAAAGAAGTAATAAATTAAAGAAATAATGTTTTGATACATTTTCTCTCCCTTACTAGAAGCTCTCGAACATATAGTTTTTCTGAATTAGTCAGTCACTTTGTAATAGAATACTAGTCAATAGGTTTAAAATAAATACCTAAGTATGGACTATTATGGCCATGCACTCAAATAATGTATGTGTTGCATATCAATGGGCAGAATTAGCCTCTCCTATTTAAACCTTTCAGACACGTACTCGAAATTTTAAGTTGGAGTATGGACTATTAATGACTAGTACTGACTTTCTCAACCATAGGCAATGGATCACATG